CAATTATAAGTACTGATTTATCATGAGGTAAACATCGTCAAGAAACCATCTTGTCAGAAATCTTAGAAAAAATAAGTCCACCAACACGCATTGTGACGACACAATATACCTTCCTTGCTCTAATACGCACGCGAGTGTCACGTACAACAATCTGTGAGTGTTTTTTTTTTCATAACAAATTATTGCTTTTCTTTTATTTATACTTTTTTAGGCTAATTTGGTCAAAATGCAGACGCGTTGTCAACCGTGAGGACTAAGATGGATTGCCTCGTTTCCCCACTTAAAAGAGTCTCCGTTTCTCTACACTCACATGCTATTTTACGCCGGTATTTGGTGAGAGCGTGGTCTTTATCTACTCGAGCTCATTCGTGCTACAACTATACTACTAATATAACTGCAGCATGGATCTACTACCATTTGTAATTTATTTAACTTTATATAATTAATTTGTCTACTATACCAGGCACACATACATATAGTATGTATATGTATGTAACGTAAAAACCTAGTGCTGTTGATTCTATGATCAATAAATAAAAAATATCCTCTCAAAAGTGAAGGGTATCCTGTGCACAACACATGGTTGGACACAGACTGTAGCTTCACTGCTAAAATGCATCGCACTGCTGGGCGTAGGCCACCTCTCATAGCTGTGAGGAATTGCATGTCCGCGGAGTCAGCAGACCTTGCATTCCCCTAAAATATTTCTCGCGCATGCCGGTTTATTTACTATGTTTTCCTCCATCGCCGTACACACTGTGACTTTAAATCAGAAGTTAAAGTAGCAATTGACAATTTCATTCGTACCGGCGGAGATCAAACTTTTACAATAAAATTTGCTGAGAACGCTTACTCCCGTTACCAAGTACCTCGTAAACATAACAAATCAAAACTATTTCATTCCGATAAACACAAAGGAATCCTTGTCACAACTTTATAGTTAAAACCATGCCTTACAGTGTATTGTTTCATATCTACAATAAGGTAACTGGAGTGTGACGTAATTATCCTATTTAACATCTTATTGCGAGTTATGCATTGAACTAAAATTTCATAAGTCAAACAACAGCTAAGTGAACTGCAGCGGAATTGAGACAATATCTTGAAAAGAAGTGACCTAAAATAACGTTTTACAAATTTCATTCCACGAGTAAAATAGAAGTAATGTCCATAAAACAATCTCGTATAAAATATTATTAACAGCAACTGTAATATGTTCATAGATATAAACATAACGTGGTTATCTCCCTATAATTCTTATCAGCTCATAACTCTATGATGGACTTGTCCAGTAGTAGGGAAGATTTACCGTAACTAGTCAGTCTTGACAGGAATGCAGCTGGTGCAGTACTAATGTTGCGCCTTTAACTCTCTTGTTGTATACAAAGTTGATAAGACTAATTGGCTTCGACCCCATTTGATTAAGTCACCTTCAAAGTTGACACGCAGTCTTACAATGTCCACTTTGTTGAAGTTCACCACTAGATGGTGCTGAAGCCGGTCTTTAGCTATCAAATTGCCGTTTTGCTGAATTTCCCACTTTATACTGTATGCCACGCTTAGCAAGTGGCCTGGCAACCAAAGTTTTTTTTGAATTTTAATCGTTACTAGAAAGAAGCTGCTGCGTATCTCCTGATTTGTTTGTCTCCGTCGCCTCTTACGACATCCACGTGATGATATGAGGTAGTGGATGTGCTTACACTGCCACTACACGGTATTAAAATAGTATTCCTTTTTAAAAATCATTTATTCTGTTGTTTCTTTGAGTTCTTTTTTCTGCAATGTCCCTATATTTATAACAATCCACTCAAAAAATTAGTATTATATTTAAATATGATTGTCTCAAACGGAACTCACTATAAATTACGTATCCTAATACCGAACGAACCAAGCAATACTAAAGAACGAACAGTGCATTATTGGTTCGATCCATTGCGTTTGGAGGATTTTGACAGACCGTAGAAGCAGGTTGATAATGACGAATCGAAGGTGAGAGTAAAAGCGAATCCCTCTAAAACTGCGGTGAGTATTTTGCAAGCTGTAGACGCAGTCTAGGGCTGCGCTGGCATCGTCTATTGATGTAAGAATCAAAATATTATTAAATAATTTGCAACAAATCAGTAAAATACAGAAGCTTGAAAAATTTTCATACGAACTGAGTATTGCTGAATTGGCATTGAAATGAGGTAATTTTAAATTTATTTTTTATTATTAGAAGTGGGTCCTATACGACAACCGCAAGCGTTTTTAACATTAATTAAATCAATGTGTACAAACCAAACAGTGTCTGATACGAAAGATTAAAAACAAGAACCTGTTAACACTTTGTGTTCCGGCGTTGATGTTATTCAATATAGATTCTTGCTAACTGGTGCCACAGTAACTGCACTGCTGGCGAAACAGATATTTAAACAACTTAGATTGGCGCACTACTTTTCACTACTCTGTTCTGCTTCTACAACACAACACCCGGTGACATACAACAGAGTAATCAACGTTGGTAAAATTAGCAGAACTATGGTTAGAAACCCCTCTTCATCCACCATAGCCTTACCCTAACAGGCTTTCACTTTTTTTGAAGTTGAGATAACTTTCTGATAGGCGAAAGTTTTAATCCCGAAGAATCATTAAAGAACGCCTTTGAATAGTTTCTCGATTCTCGGGCAGCAGGCTTCTGGGCCATCAACAAACTATCCAAAAATGGTAAGAAGGCATTTAAGTACATGCATTTTCTGCAAATATTTTTATTATTGAAAGTTTTTAGTGTTGTTGGTATTTTTTTATTTTCCTATACGAATGGCAATTTAATAGACAGACCTGATATGTATATTGGCACTTATTAGGGGCGTAAGAAAATCTATTATCCCATTTCATCCTATAAGAGACGGCTATAAAAAATACAAAGATCTTATCGCTACTGAAAAACCTTCTTATTAATTTCGGATATGAAATACCGGGACCGGCGACGATACTACTTGTATGGAACACTGAATAAGAAAATTGCTTAAGCCTTACCACTGTCGAAAAAGAAAATTTAATCAATTTTCTAGCCCTTTATAGGTTCAATAAGGCTCAAGCATTATGCAAAACGTTTTCCAGATACAAACAAGCTTACACTTTTGCGGTTCTCCCCTAATATCATTTATGAGCCGCTTCAATAAGGCTTTATGATTCATTTCTTGCGGTAAATAGTTTTCAGGACAGCGCTACTCTCTTCTTGCTCAAGCGAAAACTATAGTAGATATTTTATATTTCTTATTCTTCTTATTCATTAGTCCGTAAAAGCATGTAGCCCTGCAACTCTTTGCTAAGTTCGTGCGTCACGGAGCCGTCAAAGATTAGTAATCCGCCAGATTTATAACACCTTTCACTCTGCTCCTCATAGCTGGTCTGGTTATTTTGCGTCTAGTATAAACGATGGTAACGCCGCCATCTATCGTAAGTCATTAGATTTTCCTAGCATATCCCACAGTTTACACATTTAGTACGTAAATTTCCATTCACCGCTTCATCAGCTCGTGTCTGACCACACTTAAATATAGATAGTGACGGCCTCGTCAGTCAAATGGTCGTTAACGTAGCTACTGATCATGTGGATTCGAATCCCGAGACACGACAAGAACCAGAAATTGGGTTTTCCTCTCAAGAAATTCTCAATAGAAGCCTAAACACTTAAAACCTAATCCCTCTTCGGTCGTGTCGGATTCCCCTCCTATCGAACTATACAGATTAGAATAAGAGAATAGAGAATATTTTTATATTTGTACACACATTAGTGCATTTCAATCCTGTCCTGCGAAGATGGCTAGTCTTCGATCTAGGGGATGTCTATTTTTACTACCCAATAGTAGATAGGATTATTCCTAACCGTCAACTGTTATGATTAAATAAAAGTTAATGATTAAATATTAGATCTCCACGACACGGGCGAACTCGCCCAGCTTGTAGGCACCGTGATGGCAAATTGACCGTTCAGTGGAGATGTAAGAATATCAACTACCCCATATCGTCCCGTAGGTGCCGTAAGAGCCAACAGAGGGAAACTAAAGCAGAACTAACAGATGGGCAGCAACATCTTCTTGCTAATAACACAAAATATTAAATAACTGCAGTTGCCAACCCGCCTGTCATGCCTTCCTATAATAATAATAATAATAGGCGTAGGGAATTGACGACCCCATCGCCCCCTGACGTAACAGTTAAATGACAAAACTGCTACGTCAACGCAGTCAGTCATCGCCTTGCGAGAGGTGTGAGCGCCGTGCCTCGGCAGAATTTAGGGTGTAAAGGACCGTTTGTGTTTATGGCCACAGACGATTCGGTGCTGGGCTTGGGCGTCTCCCGTTAATGGACGCCCAAATCATGGATGATGGATAAAAAGATAGTGCGCAAAGGGCCGCTGCCTGGAGGTCATCAGGGCACGTCTGGAGCTAGCGCTGGACGTGACAGCATGTGGGCTGCCAGCCGAGCGGGGTGCTGCAAGACCACCTAGCAGCCCCCCGCATCCATCATCCCCACCAGAAGGCTTGGTGTAGGCTGGGTCTTCCCGGACTCAGCAATCGGCACCCACCGCTGGTGGAGCACGTCGCATGCGTTGGTCACAAATAATGAACGCAAACGCACTGCAGGCGTACTTTAGGGCAAAAAGGGGAAGAAACTGGATGTTTGGCGTATCGGGATCGGATGCATCGCTTTTTTGCAGAGCTGGAGCCCTCTCTATCCGTCACTGAGCATAACCTGGCTGACCGAGTTCGGTATATCCTGCGCTCCAACATATTTGGTGATGCCGAACTCGAACGACTACGACGTGAGGCTGTTCCCTCATCGAATGGAAACGCTACGGCTGGGAATGCGGCGCCACTAGTTGCGCAGCAAACTGCATATGTAGATGCAGCCGTCAATATTCCATTAGTGGTTGATTTAGACGATGATGGAATAGTCTCCCACGAACTAGAGAAAATGAGGAGATATTAAAGGAGTCGATGCTGGAAACGCGCAGCATGCCTCTCGAAAATCGACTGCGCCGCATACCCCTTAGCAAGCGAAATCAGCGTGTCGTGCGGGCTCTTAACCCAATGTTGGTGACCTATTTGGAAGCCAGCTGGGACCTTTGCGAGACGGACTCAATTCTTTTTGACGCCGCACTGGCAGTATGCCGTATTATTGGCGCAAACTTCCCATGGCTGGACGTGCTACTCGACAAAGTAGCGCCATCCGAGTCTGGAGAAAAATAATCGAGGAACGTATCGCAAAAGCAAGGGCGTTATCGGCAGACTGGCAAGCTTCAGGTCGGGTAATAATAGACCGAGAGTTGTGCGCACCGTTAGAATGCCGTTTGCTGGGACAAATATTAGTTTGTCCCAGCCGGATATCACGCAGAAACTGACGGAGCGCATAGATGACCTGAAGCAAAAAATCGCTGCTTGGGGGAAGCGGATTCGACGATTTGGCGAGAGGTAAAGGCGGTTCAGCCAGAATCGTCTCTTTCAGAGTGATTAGAAGAGGCTCTATAAATCATTGGAGCGACCAGAGGTATGTGGAGCAGGCCCAGGACCGGATCAGGTCGAATCTCTCATTTTTGGCGTGACCTGTGGTCAGAGCCCATAAACCATAGCGAGGGCCCTTGGATGGAAGTAATGGCGAGCCAGAATGCGAGTGCTACGGCTATGGACCCAGTCACCATAACGCCGGAAGACGTGGCTGAGGCGGTCCGTAGGGCTCCGAATTGGAAAAGTCCAGGGCTCGACGGGCTGCATCATTACTGGCTGAAGGGGTTCGTAGTGTGTCACGCTGTGCTCGCCCGACAGTTTCAAGAGGCTCTCGATCAGAAGTTACTCCCGAGTCTCTTCACTACTGGGATCACTCAACTGGTTCCCAAAGATAAGGATACCACAGATCCGAGAAAATATCGCCCCATCACGTGTCTACCTACCATATATAAGACACTGCCATCCATTTTGAGCGCGGGAATCACTCGTCATCTGGAGCTAAATCAGGTGATGTCACGCGCTCTAAATGGATGTTGGGGCGGTGGTCGTGGAACCAAGGAACCACTCCTCATTGACGCGGTCATTGGCAAAGTGGCGAAACGCAACCGTTGGAACTTCTCCGCCACCTGGATAGATTACAGAAAGGCATTCGACTCGATGCCCCATACATGGATAAAGAGGGTACTCGAGCTGTACAAGATTGACTGTACAGTAAGAGACTTCCGCGGGCAGTGTATGGGGCAGTGGAGTACGATTCTTTGTTATCTGGGTGAGCAGATGATGGCTGCGGAGAAACACATAAGGATAAGAAGGGGTATCTTCCAGGGCGATTGTCTAAGTCCAATCTGGTTTTGCCTCTCTCTGAACCCTCTCAGTACTTTACTGGACGGCTCCGGGAGGGGATTTCAGCTACGGAAGGAAGGGACAAAAATGACCCACCTTTTCTATACGGATGACCTCAAGTTATTCACCTCCAGTCGCTCCCATCTTATGGAATTGCTAAACATCACTTGTGAATTTAGCAATTCTATTGGAATGGAGCTGGGGACGGATAAGTGTGCGGTCCTCCATATTGAAAGGGGAAGGGTTGCTAACTCTGAAGGCATAGACTTACCTATACCCGTCAACTTAAGAATTATTTCCGAGGCTGAAACATACCGATACCTGGGTATGTCACAGAACATCGGTGTCGATGAGGCTGGTATGAAACAGTCAGTTTGCGACATGTTTTATGCACGCTTGATCAAAGTGCTTAACAGCCTAGTGTCCGGTGTGAATAAAGTACACGCATATAACGGCTGGGTCATGACTGTCCTCATGTATGCCTTTGGCATACTCAGGTGGACTCAGACTGAACTTAACGCCCTGAATAGAAAAGTCCGCACTACCATGACGTCCCATAGGATGCATCATCCGAGATCGTCGGTAATGAGGCTGTACTTGCCGCGAAAGCATGGTGGGCGTGGCTTCCTCAGCGCGCTCACCATGCATAATCGCGAAGTGTGCAGCCTCCGTGATTACTTCCTGGCGAGATCGGATGATCCATTCTATAATGACGTCATGTCTAGTGATAAAGGGCTTACTCCTCTATCCTTAGCAAACGAGCAATGGCAAAACCGGGCAGAGCATTTCCGACCGGGGGACCGTATGGAAGGAGAAGGAGCTCCACGGGAGATTCTAAAAGGCTCTACATGAGCCTTTCGTAGACAAAGTAGCCTCCCTCCACTGGCTACGCTTTGGTGATCTTTTCGGGGAAACCGAGGGTTTTGACTGTGCAATACAAGATCAGGTTGTTAAGACCAACAACTATCGGTGATACATCCTAAAGGATGGCACCGTCGACATCTGTCGAGCTTGTCGCCATCCCGGTGAGTCACTTAGGCATGTCATCTCCGGTTGTTCGGCGCTTTCTAACTCTCAGTACTTGCACAGGCACAACCTAGTAGCCAGAATTCTTCACCAGGAGCTCGCTCTGAAATACGGTCTCGTGGATCGTATTACAAGTACTTGCCGGAAGCCATGCTCGAAATTAATCGCATTAGGCTCTATTGGGACCGGGCTATCATCACAGACAGGACTATTCTTGCGAATAAACCTGTTATTGTGCTGATGGACCGGGCACAGTCAAGGATATTTTTGGTCGACATTACCATTCCGTATGACGAGAACCTCGTGAAAGCCGAAACAGATAAGCAAACATAATATTTGGACCTGGCTAACGAGCTGACCGACATGTGGGGTGGTCTGCCGACCGAAATTATTCCTGTAGTCGTCTCTGCAAACGGGTTAATCACAGTCAGGGTCATCTGAGGCGGCTGGGACTACATGGCGGACCGCTGCAGGCTCAAATGCAGAAAGCGGTGCTCCTCGATACCGCCCGAATCGACCGCCGGTTCCTTTCCCTTTCCCCCTAAACCTCGGCCGTTTGGTTTCCCCTGCCGAGGGCCTCCATCTGGTTGGGCTTTTATTTATTTATGTAATTTTATATTTATTTTATGTTATTGATATTTATGTAATCTTTTCATTTCCAAATATAATTATATATTTATAGAACCCAACCAGATGAGAAAACTATATTGATACCCCCCCATAATAATAATAATAATAAAAATCTTTTTTTTCTTTGTTATATGTTGTGTTAGAGGAGTCTCAAGATTGGCTACATCTTGAAGCGCGCTTTCATCAAAACATACTTCAAGCCGCCGAAGAAGATTGGTCAGTTTTTATTATCAGTCAAGTGTAACGTCCCTCTGCAAGATGCAGGAGTGTACAAGCTTGTTTGTGAATGTGGTCTCTCCTACAAAGGACAAATTAAAACATCAATTGAAACCCGCGTTAAAGAACATATAGCTGATGTGAATAATCGACGCTCCGGGAAGTCTGCAGTCTGTAAACACGTACAGGATCGCCCCCGTCACTACATCAGATTTGATAGACCACAAATCCTCGCTAAAGAATCTTCCAAGGATGATTCGCGAGGCTACCAAAATCAAAAAACATCCTAATTTCAATAGAAAAGATGGTTGGGTGCTACCATGTGCTTGGGATCCCATAATAAATAAAATTAAATCCCAACCCAAGCATACAACTGCAAGACTTCAAGATACCATAAGTTCATACTGTGTAGATCGGAACAAAAGTTAAATTTTAATCTATGGTAACCGCGGTTAACTATGACATCTGGACGTTGTACGTCTCAGTCTCCCTCCGTGACCATGGGTGCTGTAAAGCGCTCGAAACGTCGGGTATTTATAGTTAAATATACGCGATAGAATCCGTAAAAACTAATATTATTTAAATGTGAAGTGTTCGCGTAAATTTAAGAAATCATTAATTCATACCTTTTAAATACAATAGTAATTCTGTATTTTATAACAACTGCATCGAACAAAGTACCCATGATTTTTTATCAGATATAAATACAGGATCAAAATTCTAGGTCTCTGAAAAAGCTAAGCTAAGTTAGGTCTTGGAAAGTATAAGAATATTAATATTATTATTTAAGAACATTTACAAAAGTATAAGTTTTCGAGTAAATTAGGTAGAACGAATTGCTCTCAACATAAAATTGAAATGCTCGATGATGAACCTATAACTACTAGTTCACTACCATTGATTTCATTAATGCATATTTTCAAATTCCAATTAATAAAAATGGTAGAAAATATACTGGCTTCACATTCAATGGAAAGTCATATGTATATAATATTCTACCACAATGATTAAAAACATCAGTAGGAAGCTTTAGTAGAGCCGTAATCTTAATATTAGGACCAGAAGTCCAAGAATTTTGTGTGAATTACTTAGATGAGCTTAAATGCTACGGTAAAAAGTTATGCACGAAAGGGTTCGCACCCTAGTGGAGCCGACCCACTCGTGCTACAACTATAATATACCACTACAGCATGGCTCTACAGCTGTATAAGAAGCTATCAAATATGATGGACATATCTCAATTTCTCAATTTTGTTTTTACGTCAGATTATAGCCATGACTTCATTCGTTGAACATCTCAGTCCCCCCCCCCCCGTGAACATGGGTGCTATAAAGCGCTTGAAACGTCGGGTATTTAAAAAGTTAAATATACGCTATAAATTCCGTAAAAACTAGTATTATTTCAATAATAAAACTACTTACCTTATTGACATTGCCATACCAAACACCCATAATATTCAATCCACCGTAGCTGAAAAACTTACAAAATATCAAGATTTAGCTATAGAACTCAAGCGTCAATGGAGAGCAGAAACCGTCCACATAGTCCTAATAGTTATCTCATCTACTGGAGTCATACCTAAAATCCTACAACGCAGTCTAGATATTTTGCAAGTACCCTAACACACACTTCACACCCTGCAGAAAGCTGTCATTCTCAACACCTGCCGACTCACACGCTAATTCCTCACCACGTCATCCGTCACCTCTGCTTACACCATCACCTAGCACCTGCTCACGCATGGCTTCGGCCCGTGTGATTATGTTTTAAGTTACCTTTTTAATATGGAGAATATAGATATATACATAATCATAATAATGAGTTTATTTGTTAAAGTATAAGTGGGTTGATCACTTATGTCTAGTACATTTTGGATCTAAGACAATCAATCAGATATTTACGTAAAAAAATACAAATTAAACTCTATTATGAGTTAAACTATAGTACCTAACATATTTGTTCATACTCTATAGCGTCCGATTCATCCCCTGCCAGTGTTTATAAAATATAATGTCAGGAGACACCTGAG